CCTGCCGGCCACCTCGGCGCTCGGGCCCCCGGTAAGAGCAGGGACAGACGCCCCTGCGGAGGGAGGCGGGGGTCAAGTTGGAGTTCTGCGGGCCAGGGCTGCGGGACAGGTCCCTCTGGGAAGGGGCGGCCCAGGGGACCTTCCTCCAGGGCCAAACAGCCCTGGTACGGGGCACTCCTGCTCGGCCCCTTGGGCAAGGGGAAAAGGAGGATCAGCCCATGCCTTGGCACACCCGTCCTTGGGATCCGGTCAAAGCGAGCCAGATGCAACAGGAGACTGGGCTGGGCTCTGACAGGAGTTCCCTGGTGGGGTGGTCGTCCGTGAGTCCGGAACTTGGCCAGGGTGAACCCTGGCTTTCCCAGGCTTCAACCCTTCTGTGGCTGATGAGCCTGGGCATCTCCACTCTGACTCCCCTGACCCCCCTTTCCTCACCGAAGGCAAAGGAGAAGAGAGGCTGGACCCTGAACAGCGCCGGCTACCTGCTGGGCCCGCGTAAGTGATCCTGAGCAGCCGCTTGCTCTGCTCCCTCAGTTCTAATCAGACAAAGGGAGGTGGTGTTTCCCTGAGGTGGAGGAGGGTGGGTTTCCTCGGGCTGCACCAGCTCTGGCTGAGTATCTGCCTGTCCCTTCAACACCAGACCCTGCCTCCTCCTCTCTCACCCCTTCCCCTGCCGGGTTTCTCCCAAGCCACACCTCAGGTGGCAGCTCCATCTCCAGGTCTCGAGAAGCTCATCCTGGAAATTGCCAATAGTCTTGCCCGAAGCCCCAACACCTCGCCTCAGAATTAAATTCAGAGTGCTCCCTTCCTGCTCAGGCTCGTCCCTTTCCCCCTCTGTCCCCAGTCCCACTGTCACCGAGGCCTTGTGCTAATGTTAGTCTCCTAGTCCGTGTCTCACACATCCTCATGGCTCTAGCAGGTGTAAGCAGGACTTGAATGCTAAAGCCCCACCACAGCCGGGGCCGTTAGCACTCTCTCTGCTTTGGAAGCTGAGTTTGGGGAGAGTGGAATGGAGGCTTTGGCCATTAACAGTGTGTGTCAGTTGGGTCTCGCTGTGGTGGGTGTGGACATCGCTGAAGTGTTGTTTTGAACCACATCCATCAACATCCACACTCTGCCACCCTCGGGTGGACTTACATGGTGTCTTGCCCTTGCATTTGACGTTGTGTGAAATAGCGCAAGGCACTGTATTATAGGGAGTCCCTGCTGGAGATTCTCCTTGTCTGGGCTGTTAGGGACTTTGGAGATTCCCTGGCTCCATGGTGGCACCTATAGACAAGCACATGGGCCTCGGGAGGGCAGTGAGTAGGTAGGAGCAGGGGCTGCAGAGATGGAGGCCAGAGAGAGGCACGCACTGGGGGAGCCAGGCCACCCCTTGCCACCCCTGTCCCTGGACCTTGCTCCCTGCATGCCCTTGGTCTTCGCAAATGCCTTCGGATTTGAATTATTCTAAAGAAGGGGATGAGGGGAGGTCATGGCACCTTTCCCTGACTCACTTCCCTGCTCATCTTACCTAGCATGGCATTCAAATTTGCAGGAGTGGTCAGACTTGGGACAGCTGGCCACCCTTAAAAATGTCCCCATTTACTCCCTCCAGCCTTGAGGAGAGAGGTAAATTCCTTATGTTCCAGTTGCCAGAGAGAGAGAGAGAGAAGGAGAGAGAGAGGAGAGTGGAGTGTGCTGTTTCAAACCCCCCAGAGAAGAGGCCGCTGGGTCCCGAATCCCAGCATTTAGGTCAGATGGCTTCTTCTACTTCAGGTGTTTGCTGGCGAATCTTGTTTTGAGAAAGGCAGGTGTAGAGTTGACAGAAACTGCCCAGGCTGGGACCACAAGCAGGGTGACCTGGGCATCTCCTGGGAACCCCCTGATGCCCAGGGGAGAAGCTTGGAGGTCCTCAAGCCTGTGCCACCCTGAGTTCAATTCTTCACCAGGCCCCAAAGAAAGGAAGAACTCTCTCAGCACGATTCTCAGCCTCATCCCTTGGCATGTTGAAAATGTATTTCTCAAAGGACATTTTGAATCATGACTAGAAAACCAACTCATTGTCACGGTCAGGTTCGTGTGGCTGCCCAGCTGGGTCAGCAGACGTGTGAGTATGGATGAGCTGTTCTCGGCTGTGCCCTGGGTGTCTGGGGTCACCTGGGTTCCATGGCTGAGGAGCGAGTCTAAAATCAGGCTGCTTGTCCTGTATGATTATCCATTTACTGCTGAGAACTCCGTCTCAGGGAAAAATGAATTAATATCCCTTCATCCAGCTTTGTTGATGCCACATCCCACCCAGGCTGGGTAGCCAGAAACACTGAGCCTCGCCTTCATCCTCCTGTTTTATCTCCTGAATGTGCTCCATCCAGCCCGTCCACTCCATCCAGAGCCACTGAGGGGCTTAATGGCCTCATCATTTCCTCCCTGCACTTTTCTGCTGCAGTCACAGCACCCCCTGTATTCTTATACCTCCCAACACACACACACACACACACTCACACACACACACACGCTCCCTCCTTCCCTTCCCTTTCCCACCCCATCTTCCCTGATGGGACCCACACTTCCCCATGACCCACGTCCTCACCTCAGGTCTCATAGAGATTAACCTGCCCTCTGTTGAAGTTTCACACTTTGGTTCACTTTTGCAGTCTAGTCGTGAGTGTGTGTGTGTGTGTGTGTGTGTGTGTGTGTGTGTGTGTTCTTTGAGAGCAGCTGTGCGTCCCTTGTGGGTGGGGAGGATCCAGATCACAGTAATGGCAGCGGATGCCTCCCTCTCTCATCTGCAAGCAGATGCCATCGACAACCACAGATCATTTAGCGACAAGTATGGCCTCGCTGGCAAGCGGGAACTCCAGCCGAATGGCGACCTGCAGACAGGTGAGCAGCTTTGTTCTGGGCTCGCTTCACTCCCCACCACCTCCCAGGTTAGCCATAGGCAGGCCTGGGTGTCAGGCACTGCCAGCCTCCCACCTACCGCCATGGCCTCAGCCCAGCCTGGCCACAACTTGACTAAAGCCATGTGTCCTCCTGACACCTGTCAACTGCCAGATGCAGAGTCAGGATGTGGAGCAGCTGCAGGGACAGCAAAGGTGTTAGGGGCTGACCAGACTTGTGTCCCCACAGAGCTGGCCTGGAACCAGGCCCTCCCACAGCACTGAGCAAGGCTCTGGGAGCGCAGGGGGCCCTCAGGTCAGCTCCCGGGCTTGCAGACCCCAGCTCCTCTCTGATGGGTGACAAAGGAGGGAGGGGTGGAGGTCACCCAGGTGCCAGCCCTGAGTGTTGCTTTGCCCTGCCTTCTAGGAAGCTTTGACAGGTCATTGCCTGAGAGCAACATTGTGCGCACCATAATTGAGTTTCTGACTTTCTTACATCTCAAAGGTATGTGAAATATTACTGATTAAACTGCCACCTGGGGCCGGAGTTGTAGCTCATGGTAGAATGCTTGTCTAGCATGTGTGCAGCCCTGAGTTCCATCCCCAGTAACAGAGGTGTGTGTGGGAGTGTCATCTCTTAGAACCCAGAATACGCAAAGTCTATCAAGAAAGTACTCCATAAGCTGAATGTGGTAGCCCACACCTGTAACCTCAACTACTTGGGAGGCAGGGGGATCACTTGAGCCTAAGAGTTCAGTATCAGGATGACAACATAGCGACATCTCAACAAAAAAAAAAAAACCTCCCCCCAAAACCAGCCAGATCTGGTGGTGTAATCCCAGCACTTGGGGAGGCTGAGGCAGGATTGCAAGTCTGAGCCCGGCCTAGACAGTTTATGCCTTAGTGAGACCCTGTCTCAAAATAAGAAATAATAAAAAAGAAAAAGGGAAGGAAAGAGTTCCACAGAATTCTACCAGGAAGGAGCTGATCATTCACCAGAACAGTCCTGTACAGCTGCTGTTAGGTCACAGTGACACACAGTCACAGCATGAGGTCTACAAGGGTCATCCGACCAGCACGGCTACCACAAAAAGAGAAGGGCTTCAGGTGCATTTCACTCTACCTGGCCCGTATTTTTTGGTGTAGTGACAACTGCTGCGCCCTCTAAGACAATGGTTGGCCACAAGCCCGGGTCTTTAGAGGCCCTCTGAAGCCACACTCTGTGAGCCTGGTAACTGAGGAGGACCCGTTTCAGACTACATTGCTCTCTGTGCAGCTTTTCTGCCAGGCAAGCTGCATTTAAATCCGTGGCCCTGCTCAGATAGTCCCAGGTCACAACTGCAGCCCATAAGCCAGCGTTAACAGAGAGGACAGCGGGACCAGCGGGGCGGGGACTGACTTTCCAGGAGAGTCACTTCCCTTTGTAGTCAAGTTTGGCTAGGTCCTGGCCAGCACTTGGGTTCTTCTATTGATCTTATTACAAGCTCTGGTTGCAGGGATCTCAGGTCCCTGGGGAGGGGCTGGGAAATTTAAGGCCTGTTGCTCTGTCCTTAGTCCCACGTCAGACAGGGAGTGTGGGAGGAGGACTTGGAAATGAGGGTGTTTGCCACAATCCCCAAACTGAGGGGCCCCATGGCTCCACGGGAGCCTCAGGGAGCTTTTCCTGCAAGGAGCAGATTGACGCTGCCAGACAGGTTTGCACTACAGCTTGTTTTAGTATTGTAACATGGGAATTCTTTCATCAGGAGACACCAGTGTTTGTCCATGAAATAGTTCTTTAAAGCACGAATGTAAAAGTCTGACCGCGTCCAACACTCAGTACGTGAATTAAGTCCTGGAAAGGGGAGAAATCAGAATGCCAAACCTAAGTCAGGATGTCGGCCTGCGTCCCTGGAGAGCGAGCACATGGCCCCCGGGTGCCACTGTCAGGCTCTTTTCTGTAGGCCTTGCTACCGTGTGGTTCTTCCCTCTGCAGAGGCCAGACTCCTAGGCAGCCTGCCAGGCGTCCCCGCCGCCGGGTCCCCCGAGGATGTGGAGCAGTCCTGAGCTGACGCTTTTCCCAGTGTGATCATCTGTGCTGCGACTTAAAGTCACACTAAGATGAAGATAAACTTATGCCAACTTCTGTGGAGTAAATCATTTCTGTTCTCTGCTTTGATGCTGTGTTGTTACAATTTGGTTTTTGGCTTTTTTTTTTGGTAATTATTTTGAGTGACAAAATAAAAAATAGCAACTACTTGTGATTTTCTGATTCTTCTATACTTTCATCTTAAGACCAGCACCCCCAGTGTGTCTTAAGAGAGGAGTCTGGATGATAATCATGTGTGCTAGATATAAATCTTCGACTCAGATTCCACATCGAGGTCTGAGTCACCTCGTGTTTCGTGTCTGGAGAACGTAAAGTTCTGTTACGGTGAGGCTGAGTCACCTGTGCTTATGACGGTTAAGTCTGTTACTGAGATGAACAAAACCACAAGTGGACCAACCTCCCTCCCCAAGGGAGCTGCTCTCTAGGGGTCAGGAGTGCACAGGGCACAGGCGGAGAGAGTAACGTGTACTTGTGAAGGTGGTGATGGGGTGGAAAGGCCGCCAGCCGGATGAGAGGGAGACGTGTGGCCAGGGCAGGAGGGCAAGTGAGAGCTCTGAACCATGCCACGGACCAGATATATGTGCAAGGGAGGCTGCAAAGGAGGAAGAAGGCAGAGACGGGCAGAAAGGAAACAGGTAAAGCCTATTTTTCCAGCTCTTTGGGAGGCCGAGGCAGGAGAATCATTTGAGCACTAGAATTCTAGGCCAGTTAGAACAACATAGTAAGATCCTGTCTCAAAAGAAAAAAAATTCAGAGAACAGGCAAAAAACCAAAAAACAAACCAGAGATCGTCTGCTAAAAGAGTTGGCAGGTGACATGCAGGCCCACCGCTGCTTACCAAGCAGACCCTTCTCCTGGCAGTAGGACTCAGGAGCCTGAGCTCCAGGGGCCCACTGATCTGTGCGCTCCGTCTGGGGACAGGTGATGGGCAGCCACACCCAAGGGTGAACCCTACCTCAGACCTGCATCGGGGGGCACAGCTCTTCTTCCCCGTCCCTGCTCAGCTACACACTGCACAGTTCCCACCTCCCTCCTTCCACCAGCTGCCCCCAGGCCCTGCTCCCTGCACGCCCTTCTGCTCCCCTCGGACGCTCCTGCAGCCTTGGGCCTCCAGACCCAGGACAGTGCCCACCGGCCCGACCTCGGCTCCATCCTCTTCGGGTCTCAGGGTTCCCCCTCCGCGCCTGTTCAGTTCCTTCTCACTCTTTCTGACTCCATCAGGCATCTGGGCTCAGGGTGCTCATGACGAGTCCCCTGATGCCGCTGCTACTGGTTTGAGGACAATGCCTGGGCTCTGCTACCCAGCCCTGTAGCCACAGCCTTCCGTGAGCAGAGTGTCTCTCGAACTATACTGACTCCCTGAGCGGCCTGATCAGATTGCTCCGGGCCATGGTTCCCGCAGGGCTCGGGGTGGTGATGGGCACTGCCCTGGCCCCCAGCCTCCGGGCAGATGTGCAGGGCCTCCTAGGCTCCGGCAGCTACTCCTTCTCCAGAACTTTCCTTCCTTTTAGGAATAAACAGTAGGGGAGGTGGTGGCATCTGGAAGGCAAGGGGAAGGAAGAAACGGGTAGGGGACAGCTGTGGGGCCATTTGCTGCCCAGAAAAGAGATGGGTGAGGTGACAGTTCTCAGAGGAGCCACAGAAGGTGACTACTTCCCAGAGAGAATACATCAGAGCTGGCAACAACTCTACTGGACAGTTCTGCACAATGACCGTTCCATACGGTGACCGTCCCACACAATGACAGTATAGCTGGTCCCTAGTGATCGCAGTTTCTGCATTTTCCGATTCAATCAATGGCAAATCAGAAATATCCAAAAAATAATACTAACCAGTAATAGTGGTGCACGCCTATAATCCCAGCTACTTGGGAAGCTGAGGTAGGAGGGCTACAAGTTCAAGGCCAGCCTGGCAACTTAGCCAGAACTTGTCTCAAGATAAAAATCTTTTAGAAGAGCAGGAGATATGGCTTAGTGGCAGAGTCTTTGGCTAGCAGTGTGAAGCCTGGCATCACAGAAAGTAATTTTTAAAACCCTACAAATAAGAACCACTTACATAGCACATTATATTAGGTATTAACTATGGAAACCAGTATGGAGATTCCTCAAAAAGCAAAAAATAGAAATCCCATTTGCCCCAGCTGTTTCCCTTCTAGGTATCCTCCTGAAAGAGTTAAAGCCATCATATAACAGTGGTACCTGCAAACCCACATTTATAGCAGCTAATTCATAACAGCTAAATCTTGGAAACAGCCTAAATGTCCATCACCAGATGAATGGATGAAGAAAATAGGTATTGACACACGATGGAGTACTGCTCTGCATAAGAAAGGATAGATTTGAGTCATTTCTAGGAAAATGGATGCACCTTGAAACCCTAATGTTACGTGAACTAAAGCAGACACAGATTGTTGCATGGTTTCTCTTACAATAGAAATTAAAATTATAAATAATTTAAAGAAAAAATAAAAGATAATAGGAAACAGGGAGTCAAGACTGTGTAGAGATGGAAGGGTTTCTTAAGATGGGGAAGATGAGAGAGAGAGAGGGAGAGGGAGAGGGAGGAAGGGAAAGGAAAATAAAAAGGATCAAGATGTGACCTGTACACATACTGAAGCCCCACAATGAATGCATTTATTGTGTACTGTATATATACACTAATAAAAAGGAAAAATGTATTTAGTGTTAGAAGCAATCTAGCTGGGCGTGGTGGTGCACGCCTGCAATCCCAGCACTTGGGAGGCTGAGGCAGAGGCAGGAGGAACGCTGTGAGTTCAAGGCTAGCCTGGGCTACATAGTGAGTTTGAGGCCAGCCTGAACAGCATAGTGAGACCCTGTCTCAAAAAAAAAAAAGGCAGCAATCCAGAGATGGTTTACAGTATACAGGAGGATGTGCTCATGTTACATGCAAATATCATGCTATTTTATATATGGGACTTGAACACCCAAGGATTTTGGTGCCTGAGGGGTGGAGGAGGGGTCCTGGAACCGTGCCTTGCTGATGTAGAAGGACACCGGGCTGGCCTTTACCTTTGACTTTCTCCCACAGAATCTGCATCCCAAGGAGTCAAAAGGGGACTCTGAAGGACAAGAATGAAATATCTCTTTTATCCTGTGTGGCTCGCAGGCTGTTCCAGGTACAGGTCTCAGGCATGCTGCGCCATCTTGGCCTCCTGACACGCTTGGCGCCCGCCACCGCCATGATTGCCGAGTGCTTTTTCATCCTTTAGTGGATGATAGATTAACAAACCCAGACACAGGAAAAAGAACACTATTTTAATCTACTTCAGGGTGGGTATTAACAAGGCGCATATATTTTCAGTTACCATGTTAATTATAACAACTTAGTAAAACCTAAAGAGTAACACAATAAGCTAATGTTCTGCTGGTTTCTGCAAGCTAGTTACTTTAACCATATTTTACAAGTATTAATACTATCATAACAATAATTATGCATAAGTTAAGTGAAAAACTAGCTTTTCCACAATTCAAGTAGAAACACCCGAGAAACTGAATACAATCGGAAGCTCTGTGACCCAAGACTCCCGCTGTCAGCCTGCCCTGCCGGCCCCTGCTGCCCGCTGTCCTGGAGGCCCTGTGACTCTGGGGACTGTCTTCACTGAGGAAATCCTACGGTATTCAGTGGCCCTCTGGCGAGTCTCAGTTGTATCCTAACAGCTCCTCGGGAGAATGTAGTTTAAATAATTTGAAAAACAAAGAAAACCCAAGAACCATCCTGCTTCCTTTGGCAGGGCAGGCCTAGAGGATCAGGCTCCTGAAAGGAGTGTGCCACCCTGGGATGGCGGGAACCCAGGCTCTCCTCTGTGCAGACTCGGTGCCTGCACACACCTCCTCCTGCGTGAACCCACGGGTCCCTCCATGGGAGAGCTGGGTTCCACCCCAACTGTCCGGTGCCTCATGCTCCTCAGCAGTGCCGTGCTCTCTCTTGACTACACTGTATTCAGCTCAGTTTTCAGCCCCTTGGACTTGAACTCAGTGTGAAGGATCTGTGACAAGCATCTCCCGAACTCCTCCAGGATCATCTGCTCAGCCAGGCCCTGGGAGCAGTGGCCCTTCTCAGCCTCCTCGCCCTGGGCCAGCAGGCAGGCGCAAGTGGCTTCCACCACCTCCCAGGAGATGCAGGAGCAAGGCGGCCCGCTGGGGAGAGACCAGGAGACGGTGAGGACCTGCTCAGCAGGGCGCTTTCTCTGAGTACTTTTTCTTTTCTCTCCCCGCCCCTTCCACTCCCTTTCTCTTCTTTCCTTCCATCCTAGGGAACTAGGAGCTGAACCCAGGACCTTTGCACTGAACTACATCCTCAGCCCTTTTTTATTTTTGAGAAGGAACTTGCTAAGTTGCTTAAACTGCCCAGGTTGGGCTCAAACTTGCAGTCTTCCTGCCTCAGCCTCCTAAGAGTGCTGGGATTAACAGGCTTGTGCCACTACACCAGCATCTAAGTATATTTCTAGTCAGCAGAACATTTCTCATCCGTGCCAGTTTATGTCCTCTCCCTCCACGTAAAGGGTTGTGTGGAAAGAATGACAGAGGACAGGCCAGCCTACCAGCAGCTGGCATCCCTCTCCCAGAAAGGTCTGATCTCCTGACCTTAGAATCACACCACCAACCAGCCCAGGGGCTCCAGGGCCACAGTGTCCCACGCCCAGGCAGGGCAGGAGCAAGTCCAGGGTCCAGCGTGGGGGACCTCTGTCTCCCTCGGGCCCGTCTGCGGTCTCCCATCCCCAGGGCTGAGAGCAGAGTATCCCACACTCCCCTCACGTACTGCAGCCCGACTGAGTATTCCTGAAGTCTCTCACCAAAAAGCATGAATTGGGCTTTGCAAAATGAAATTGATTTATTAACGACTTCTGGTATTTTATCAGGATTATGACCTTTGATATGGAACTCACACTTTTTAAATGAATGAATCAAGTCTAATGCATAATGAAATGAGTACCCCACTGTCGAGACCTGCTAGATTATAAGATGGCTTCAAAATCCTTAGACGGGAAAGTGGCCGCTGAAATCTGGACTCCATAAATCCTGCAGGAAAGAGCTGTGTGTGTGAGAGGAGCACAGGTCCTCGGGGTGTGTGAGTTAGCGCGGCTCTGACTCAGCGCAGGAACACGGCTGGCCTGACTAGAGCCACTGGCTGGCCCTTTTGTGTTGTACAAAATGCAGCGCTCAGACAGAGGCAGAAAAGGCCAAGCTAGAAGGATGAGCAGGGCACAGCAGGTCCCAGTGTCTGATCGGCGGGGAAGGTTTCCCTTCCTCCTGCCCTACCCTTCTGGCATGGAAATGCTTTTAACTTTCTCTCAAAACCTCTACTGACCCTACTACCTACTGGAGTACCTACCTGTTTTTTCTGAATTTTGATAGTTCTGAAATTTTAATTGGTGACAAATGAGAGTTGCCATCCAATTCCCTGGTTTCCATAGACGTTGGCATGTTCATCAGTGTTTTTCGTTCTGGGCTTTCTTCATAGTTTTTGCAACCAATACATTTGCATATAGAAGAACACATAATTTTGGCCTGGTAATATAAAATGCTTCAATAAAATTAGGTTGCCCTATAAGCCATCAAAAGTGGCAACTTCTATTGATATCAAGTCACATGTACACGTGCAACCTGTGATTGAGAGACAGAGAGAGAAACAGAGAGAGAGAGACAGAGAGACAGAGAGAGACAGAGACAGACAGAGAGACAGAGACAGAGAGACAGAGAGACAGAGACAGAGACAGACAGAGAGACAGAGACAGACAGAGAGACAGAGACAGAGAGAGAGACAGAAACAGAGAGACAGAGAGAGAGAAATAGAGAGAGAGAGACAGAGAGAAAGACAGAGAGACAGAGACAGAGAGACAGAGACAGAGAGACAGAGAGAGAGACAGGGCGCACTCCAGATGCCGAGAGAAGTGAATAGTGGTGACGTGAGGAGAGGGTGCGCTCACAGCCCTTGCTGCCGCGAAGGCAGGGGGTGGGGGGAGCCTCAAGTGGGTGCGGGTGGAGAACCAGCCAACTGCCGCAAAGCCCCATCTGGCCGTGACACTCCAGGTCAGTGGGGTCACAAGCGGGACAGCCTGTGGCTGGGAGTTCTCAGGAGATCCTTCCTCTTGCGAGAGTTCTTGCACGCTAGGATTGCAGGGCCCACCTCCTCAGTGCAGGGGCCCCAGGGCAGTCTGACGCTGGCACTGCTGACCGCATGGGTTTTCCATTTTACTTCGCCTCGGCCCCAGGATTTCGCTTCATAAGGATGGAGCTCCAGCTCCAAGATGCAGCTGCAAGGGCCCTCAGCGGCTCCTCCGTGTATTATGAAACGGACGCTGCTCAGGATGCCTGGTCTACACCGATGACAGACACTAAAGGACAGAGCTGTCCTTTCCTCTTTGCCTCACATCCTGGCAGCCACTGCCTGGCACAGGCTCAGCCCGTGGAAGGAGCTGGTTCCCTGATCGGTGGTTTTCTCCACCTCTGTAATAGTTTGGCTGCACGTTGGGAACTCTAGCTGAGGTGTTGCAGGTCTGCCTGCTCAGCTTTCTCGGCTTGGGTTTCCAGAACTGGAAGGGTGAGCCTAAAGCTGACCTTTGATGGCAACCATTTAAAGTGAAATTCACAAGTCCCCGAAGACCTCAGGCAAGCAGAGAGGCTTTTGGCTCTGTCACTGCCTCCTCTAGGGACTGCAGTTCCCTCCCCATTTTCTCTTCCCTCAACACAGAGAAAAACAGATAGAAAAGACAGCAAAACTAAAGGGGAAGGTGGGTGAACTCTAAGAGAAAAGGGAAAAGTTCCATCCAGGAAAAGGTCTGCACCTTGCTGTGTAGGCTTAGTGTCCTTTCTAGTCTCTGAGAGGCTGTGAGCCAAGGGAGAGCCGCCCCGGGCAAAGCTCCCTGGCGATGGATACCTGGGGTCCCCCAGAGCCCGAGCAGGAGCATCCTGGCTCTGCTCAGGGGAGAGGAGGCACAGTCCTCCTCTGCCAGCCGCTACATTGCTGGCTGCAGAGTCAGAGGGGCACAGCCACAGAGGCGGGGATCCTTGGTGGGCACCCAGGCTGGGGCTCAGGCAGGTACCTGCTCCATGGGAGTCCTCGCTCTATGGCTTGATTCATGAGGCTCACTGACATCTGAGAAATTAACTCACATTAATATGAGGGCCCTTCCAGTGAGTGACCTTAGGAAAAGGGGGATTTCCCCTTTTAAATTACCATAAAGTTCTTCTAACCACAAAAGTGACTTAGGCAAAGTCACATTCTTATTTTTATTTTATAGGTTTCTTATTTTTCACATGCCTATGCTAGGAAATCAGTCACCGACCTCATAGCACTCGCAGTAATTCTTCAGGCAGCCGGACCGCTTACAGTTGCAACCTTTGTTATGACGAGGCTTAACATCTCCCAACCTGCCTTTCCCAATTTTGGGTTGGAAAGCTTCTGGATTTCTGTCAAGACATGCCTAAGATAGAAAATGGAAACTCCATAAAGAATGTGCTTTAAACTGAGAATGGTGAACACCTCTATTCCCACCATCTTGAAGGATGAAGCAGGAGGATGGCAAGTTCGAACCAAGCCTGGGCAACTTAGTGAGACCCTGTCTCAAAATAAAAAAATTAAAAAGAACTAGAGGCAGCCCTGGGTTCAATCCCCAGTACTGCAAAAACAAACACCCTCCCCGCAAAAGACTCTGCTTTGTGACTCAGATCTAATGCTTAGGGACAGGCGTCTCAGTGGAGTGGTCTCTAAGCTCGGGAAGCACAGGCTCCATTATGACCAGGGAGCTGCCTGGGTCTGGTCACCTTTTGGTCTCCTTAGGGTGCTGCGGCCATGGACTCCAGGTTGGGCTTTTTCTCTGCATTTCAAAGTCACCCGTATTTAGTGTAGAAAATTAATGGATAATAAAGATGAAAAGAAGATCATTGTTTCCACGTGGATAGACTCTAGATTCCCTTTCCCTATAACTGATTTTGGGGAGTGAGGGGTTCTGGGGGTGGAACCCAGGGCCTCACACATGCTAGGCAGGCTGGAGCCCCAGCCCCCAGTAGCTGAGGCCACCGTTCTGTGCTGGCAGCTCACACCATGGGAACATGACTGCGTGAACCACATCTCAGACATCTTTCTATGCAATGCATGCACTTCTCTCAGGTAACCTCTAGGCCACCATGGGACCTAAGAGCTGCTAAGTTACCGCTAGGTGTAGATCAAAAACCTGAGGCGCAGGTGTGGAATCTCAAGTCCAAGTCCTCATGCTGGCTCCAGGGGCGTCCCACCCTTGGCCACGCCTTTCCCATATGATGCACATGATTGTCACTCTGATTTGACTTTTTAAATCTATCTGTCCTGAATCTACCTACACATGCAATTGCATACCTATTTTCAAATAAAAAGTGATTTGTACTCCTTGTAATTCAAATGTCTCAGGAGTCACTGTGGAGGTCCCACCTCCCTCCTAAAGTTACTTAGCGGCTAGATCTGTGCGTTCAGCACCAAGGTACAAGCCTGTGACCACCGCAGCCCACTGTCCCACCACATGGCACTGGCCTGCCGTGGGTGGCTTTATACACAGGTCTTACTGTGGAACCGATGGACTGGTGCCAAGCAGGGGGCTCCTTGTCCCTCCTCCCTGTCGTGAACCCCCAAGGGAGCCTCTGTGCGGAGACATCACGTGAGTGGAAGCCCAGCACAGCCTCTTGGCCTCGCTTGTTTCCTCAGCAGTGTCCGTGACAGTAATTCACACTGCTGCACTTAGCTGAACTTCTTTCGTTTCTGTTGATGTATAATTTTCCCTCAGACCACATACCTGCCATTGTATCAGTGGACTTGTCCCTTGGATCGGTGGGCTCATTGCCAGTGTTTGGCTATTTCAGATAAAGTTGATGTGAACATTCTTGTGCAAATCTTTTGTGGACATTTACACTCATTTCCACTGGCTGTGTTTTTAGAAAAGAAATTGCTGGGGCATAGTATTTACAAGGCTTAGCTGTAGTAGGTACTGTCCAACAATTTCCTGAAGTGCTTGTAGCCAATTTAATTACCATTAACAGTACATGAGAGTTCCAACTTTTATAATTAAAAATTATACTTTTAATTATAGATAATACCCTTTGCCCCTACATAAAATGTGACTAAGAGTTTAGATGTATCATCATTTTCTTCTGTCCCACGGATCTGGTCATTCAAAATTGATAAGATATGTCTAAGTGATTTATCCATAATTCAAGAGGGAATTATTTTCATATATATATATAGGAACAGACCAACGAAGGCACAGGACAGTTGATGGCTTCTCTTTCCTTTGTAAATCAGAGGCTCCAGTAGGTGTCTCCCTGGAGCAGGTAGACAGCCTAGTCTGACTGTCTCCTGTCCCTGATTAACTGTGTGCCTACAGGGAGGACTAAGAGCCCCACACTCCTGCATTTAGCCAACAGCAGAGTGGCCTTCGGGGCCATTGGAGTTGGCATTCTGTCCCCCTCAGGAAAGCCTGGATTCCGTCCTCCTCCTGGAAGCTGGGATAGAAAACTTTAAATTACATGGGGGCTGAGTGCCCTCCCCAGCCCGCTGTCCTCACAGAGGCCTGTCCCCCTTCTTTCAGACTATATGGTTCCAACTCAAGCACAACATACCCCAAGTTTCTAAGCCCCAGACCCAAACCAAGATGCACATTCTTGCAGCAGCTCCCTGGTTTCTCTATACCCCGAAGCCATCCTCATGGGGAGGAGGAGGGTCTTGCGGGCATGCTGCTGTCAGCAGCGGCACCCCCACTGCAGGAATAGTCACAGTTGTTGTATATTTTCTTCACACTTTGGGCCTTTCCAATATTGAAATTAGGAATCTCTGGAGGCCATTTTGTGAACATCTCAAACATTTTTAAATGCTTTTAAAATGTATTACCTTAATGGCATTAAACCGTTCGATTTCATGATGTAAATTGTTGCAACAGTTATTACAATTGCAGTTGTTGCAAAAGTCCCCACTGGCGAAGCAGTCGCAGTACCTGGGAAGAAAAGCACAGTGTGAGCCTGAGGTGCAGGCGGCACAGCCAGGCAGTAACAAGAAAGGCACATGTGCAGGAAAAGGGTGGCCACAGGGCCTTGGCCAGGAGGACTTTGATTTAGGGGATTTCGACTACATCAGCCAGACGATGTTCTACATGACTAACACCGAAGAAAGGGAAACCGGTTATTAAAGCCGTGGGTTTGGTGAGCAAAACAACTTCCTGGAAGTTATCCATTGCTGTCCGTCATCTCCAGCCCCATAGCCCACTGCCATTTGGCCACCGACCCTCCCAACCCATCCAATCTCTGAAGGGTTGCTCCCCTCTTCACCAGACCTTGACAGTGAGTGAAAACCAATGGGAGGGACCTGGTCTAGGCTTCATCTTTCACCCTAAGTCCGTGAACAGAGGGAATGAAATGAATGGTAGAAAAATAAATGCACGAAACACCTGCTATGACACTTCTTTGTTGTACTGAGAGGGTCCTTCACCTGCCCTGCATTTGAATCCTGGACTGTACTTAGTGAGAAGACCCAAGGAGAATGTCCAGGGCAACCTTTGATCCCTGGGCCAGAGGCTTCCCTCTGCTCACAGCCTCAAGCTGCTTCCCAGGCCCTTTCAGATGCCCAAGTGTGTTGTGCCCAGAGGCACCCACAGGCCTACACTGACGGTCTCTCCCCGAGGGCAAGTGGCATCCAAGCCAGACTCCTGAGATCCTACACCCCTGAGAGGTACTGGGAACCCGGCAGCTACTCAGCAGCTTCTGTTCGTGACACCCTGGTATCTCCTGTCAGTTGTGCCACCAACTCTCACGTCATCTGTCACAGGCTATTACTCATCAGCACGGGGAGTTGAGAAATGGTTCAGTGGCCAGGCGTACTAGATGGGCCCCCCAAGGCTGTATGAGCCGGGAGGGCTGGATATCTGCAGAACCCCCCTGTGTGAGAAGCCCCAGCACAATTCTTTTCATATTTATTGTTCTATTCATATTTATTTTGTATTGTTAAATAATATCTTTAAATGCATGTGAAGCCAGCAAGGCTATTTTCAAAGTGCATCAAGCATTAAGTCATAAAGGAAATCTTCATTAATTTCAAGGAATTGATATACAGATCACATTATCGGATCACAGTGTAATTAAATTTAAAAATTAACAAGACTGTAGTTTTAAAGTATATATACATAATATACATATATATATAAAATATACATAATATACATATATGCATACACAAGTTTGAATACTTTGAAGCATACACTTAAATAACTCATAAGATAGAGAATATTACAATGGAAATTACAAAATATTTCTAGTGAGTGACAGTCAAAGTCCCTTTTATAAACTCTTATAGGATGCAATAGAGCAGTACATAGCTTGAAGTGATTTTTAAAAATAATAAGATTTGAAATAAGGTATTAATAAAAACACTAGCAAAATAAGAGAATGAAATAAAGATAGAGCCACATGTGGTGGTACAAGCTTGTAATCCCAGGACTCTGGGAGGCTGAGGCAGGAGGATCACAAGTTCAAGGCCAGCCTGGTCAAGTTAGTGAGATCCTGTCTCAAAATCCAAAATCCAAAAAGGGTTGTGCACCTGAGCTCAATTCTCAGTACTCCTTCACACACACATACACACACACACACACACACACACACACACACACACACGATAGAAGAAAGGAAAAAAATAGTAAGGAGTAAAAATTAATGTACTTTGTGAAATAGGAAAAAGAAATGCAAGAAAATAAAAAAATGAAAAGTTAGCACTCTGAAGATATATAAAATAGACAAGTCACTTGTGACCTTGATCAAGAAAGAGAAAAATGGGCCAGGGATTTGGCTCAGTGGTGCCGCTTCCTGCCTTGCAGCACAAGGTCCCAAATTCAATCCCCAGTACCAATAAATAAGTACATTTTAAAAAAGAGAAAAATACACACTGACAATAGTAGAAATTAAAATGAGAAAATTTAAAAGGATGAAAGTTTAGAACAGAGGTACTTTTAAAATAATTTTAAAATATATTAATAAATTAGAAAAATTAAAGAAATGAATAACTTTTTAAAATATAAAAATGGACTCAAGAAGAAATATAAAGCTTAAAGAAAACAAAGCTACTCAAGAAATGAATAGACTCTTTCCCTACTCTAATCGCAAAAGGCATCAGGCCCTGAGAGTTTCATAGGCAAGTTTTTTCTTTTCTTCTGTTTATTTGTTTTTGAGGTGCTGGGGACTGAACTCAGACTTTGCATTGCGCTACATCCCCAGCCCTTTTTTATTTATTATTTTGAGAAAGGGTCTGACCATGTTGCCCAGCTTGGGCTCCAGCTTGTGATCCCCTTGCCCCAGCTTCCCAGAGTGCTGGGATTGTAGGTGTGAATTATCACATCCAGCTTATAAGCAAGTTTTACGAATCTTTCAATAAACAAATAAATCCTTTCTTACTCAAACTACTTTAGAAATCAGAAAAAAAAAGGGAAGTTGGTAGGGATAAGGAAGCCTAGCTAATGCATATTATCAGCCAATACAGCATCAATGAAATAAACATAAAGACAAATAAGAAAGGAAAATTACATGTCTCTCTTATGAACAAAGATGTAAAAATCCTAGAAAACAAAATATCAGCATGACAGGATCAAATTGGTTCAATCCCTGGCATACAAGGGTAGATTAACAGTGGAATGTTCATACTATTTGATGATAAAATTAAAAAGTCAAAACAATTTCTTCATTTTAATAATGCACAAAAAAAGCATTTGATAAAATTCATCATTCTTTATAATTACAATATAATAATAATAACAAATCCCCTAGGAAACTAGGACTAGAAGGAAACGTCCTTAACCTGGGGAGGGTAGGTGGCAAAGAAGCTGGTAGTTCCTGCAATATCTACTTTCCTCATAGTCTACAGCAGCACGTGGTTGGCTATCTCACGCTTACATTTCCCAGCTTCCTTCATTTGGCCTAGCCCTGTGACGAGGCTCAGGATAATGGGTGTGAACAAAAGTGATTATGGTTAACTTCTGGTTATGCCTTGAGAAATAAAGAATATGTCTTTACCTTCTTCTTCTCTCTTCCCCAGCTACTGGAAGTTAGTGATGTGGGAGGCAGAGCAGCCTTCTCAGATCACAAAACCCTACTGAGCAGGTCACAGTGACCAATAAAGCAGTCTAAGAGACTAATACTAATTAGCTGTTGCATTCGTCCTGAAACAGTTATGGGTTTAAAGTTATTGTCATATTTGCTGAGCTTATGTTTTCTCTAATACAGATGATCTATCAATGGCCTACAACAAATATCTTATTTAGGGAAGGGGTAGGAATTACAGAAGCATTTCTATTACAACCAGAAATAAGCCAATAATGCCTAATACCAGTACTTACATTCATCACTGCACTAAAAGTCCTAACCAATACAAGGCAAAGAAAAAGAATAAAAAGATGGAAAAATATTTCATTGTCCTATCTGCAGATAAGATCATTATTTAAATAGAGTGGTGAGGAAAACCCACAGATGAATCAGTACAATTACCAAGTGGGACCCATGCATGAGAACCCAAACTAGGTCCATGAGTACATTCGACTTTGAGAGCTGACAAGGATTATACAGCAGATCAACTAGGACTATATTTATAGTTTTACAATAAATGGTACTTGACAATGAATGGTCCATATGGAAAAAAATTTAATCCCTACCTGACACCATTCAGAAAACAAAAACAAACGAACAAAAAACTACAAAACTGCAGGCACACATTAAGGCTCAATGACAAAATCAAACTTTAAAGACCTTTAGAAATGAGTTATGGCCACATTACTTGAACAAGACACAAAAAAGAATTAACAATAAAGACAAGTTATCATTTGGACTGCATTAAATTAAAAACTCCTGTAGCCATGTGTCTGGAGTGCTTCATTATTTAGATCTTGTGTTAGACACTGGAGATACAACAATAAACAAGGCATAGTCCTCATCTTCATGAGACTTACAGTCTTGCACAGATGCCTATTTTTCAGGGTTAAAATTCCAGCTGGCTATAGACCTGGCTTGCTTATCAAACTCCCATTCCCTTCTGACCACTTCTATAGATTTCCCCTCCTAGGCAGATTGCTCCCTCTGCTGAAAGCCCCAGCCTGTTCTAATCAAATTGGTCACAGCAACAGCAGTGTCATCAAGAAGGGAGCTGGGAAGGCTTCCGTCTTCTCATCTTAGGCTTTCCCACCTTGCAGAATCAGTCAGCACAGTCTTCATCTGCATGTGGGTTGATGAACACATGGACGTGGTGTTTCAGAGCAGGCTGTTATCGGCACCATACAGTCTAGGTATTTTTGTATGTACAAGGTGTTTGCACACCTCCACACCAGTCTATTCTCACTGTTGCCCAGAAAATCATATCTAGAGCCATTATTTGAGGTTTGGTGGCTCCACTTTGGGCTGTGAGGCATCGAGTAAACATTGTTCCATTATAGATGACGTCCTCGAGGTCCAGATTGTTCATTCTAGTGCTAGCAGCACTGCGATACCTTTTGAGTAATCCTGCCCTGTTGCTTGTCAAGAGGTGACAATACAGTTCAAGGAAATGCTGATGATCCTTGTGCCAAGTTCATCTCTATAGGCATATTTTGTCCTGGAAATGGAGTGTCTTGATGATTGAAAAGACACATGATGACATTTATTCTAAACTTTTGACCATCCTGACAAATTGCCTGCTATAAAACCCTTTAAAACACTGGATTAAATATTTAAAACATCTTAGATGCACATTTGAGCTGATAAAAAATTTAAGAAAAAAATTAATTTGTATTTTAAATTAAGGAAACCCCTCTGATGGGGGGGAACAGAAGCAAAAATTCAGAGAAGCAAGCTAAAGCTAAAGCCTGCACCCACCTTAGGGTGCCTGTTCCTCTCATCAACCACAGGCTTTGGATTTAGGGGAGGGCAACTATGACAATAGCAACACATGTAAGGACACTTACAGTTCGCTGTAAGTGCTTTATATATG